TCCTTAGAAAGGTTCGCAGCCGAGTGTGACGTGACCGGCATGCGTGTGAACGCATCTAAAACGAAAAGCCCAGTGCTTTCTCGTTCTCCTGTCCGTTGCCCTGTTCAGATTAACGGAGAGGCAGTAGAGCAGGTGGAAAAGTTCAAGTACCTCGGAACTATGTTTACTAGTCATGGAAAGTTGGAGGAAGAGATCGACCGCCGAATTAGTGTAGCCAGCGGCGTTCTGCATGAACTAGCCTTACCCATTGTGACTAAAGCAAAGCGCAGTCTGAAAACTACGCACTACCACAATATTCAAGTCGATCTTTATCCCCATACTTATCTACGGTCGTGAATTATGGACCATCACTGAAAACTTCGAATCCGGGTCCGAGCTGCTGAAATGGGCTTTCTTAGACGAGTCGCTGGCCTTACGCTTCTCGACTGGTCCGGAAGAGCCTTGGATTACAGCCTTTGCTTCTCGAAAATGACAAGTCACAGCCGCGATGGCTTGGGCATGTGTTGCGAATGCCTCCAGAATGGAAGGCTAAGCAGCTATTCCTTGCAAATCCGACCGGTTAAGATTAACCTGGTGCAAACGTATAGAGGGAGTCTGTTCTAGACTGCATTTGTGTTTTGGCGAAGCTCAGAATCTGGCACAGGATTGGGAACGTTGGAAGCACTGTATGACGCGTCTGCCTCCGCGACCAGAAAGGTGAAGCGGCGATGGAAGATGAAGATGAAGAATATAGATGACAATGAAATGCACTGCCGGGCATATCTTGCATTATTTTAAATCTAAGATTACAGTTGATAATATCGTTATTATGAATGACATTTTATCCGCTGAATTTTCTGTCACTCAAATTTTGAGACATAGTATCGTTTTTCGCAATCTTGCAGAACATCTATGCCTGTTCGAAGGGATGATGATTCATAACTGTGTTATGTTTCCGTAATTATTAGCTTATTTATGACTCTTGCACTACAGTTTTTAAGCAGAATACTTACTATGTAATTTAGATATTCTTGGATATTAACAGACAATTATCTTTCTTTTAATGTGACGCTGTTTCGGCAAAATAAGGTTATGATTAAATTTTAAAAATTATGTATGATACTTCTTGAAAACATTAAGCTATTTATTTTTGTTTTTGGTTCTGCATGGGTATTTTAACATGTAAAAGTGCAAAATCACTGAAGTTGAAAAAAATCCTGGAAGATCTTGTCTTCTGAGTGTAAATGTCTTAAAGTTTAAATGTAAGTTAGTCTTGCTGAGGGTCTTAATGTTTTTTAAGGGAATGTGAAAATGATTTCTGCAGTTGCGTTTTATCTGGTGCTGTTGTTGCATGAATGTATTACTTTTGACTGAACGCTCAGACTCGAAGTTTGTTGAAAACGAAAGATCGTGATGTTAGCAGGGTGAGAATACTATCACCGCGGAATTTCTTTATACCACTATGGTAAAATCGACTATTCCAGGCTCGATTTTCTTTCGTACGCCTGCGGAAATACTCTAGCTATCTTCCTCATTACTCGTCCTATTAGCGTGGGGAAATCTTTTTTACTTTCTAAGTAGAGGGGCAATTGTGTGTTTCATTTCCACAAGGATGATTTAGCCTTGACATTAGTAAGTGATGGACATTTCGTTAAACAGTACCTTAGTGTCAGGGTAACTGTAGTTTCTACGGAGTGAATATAAGTTACTTTTGAATAGATGACTTTTTCTTTTATGGAATAGCCATTAAGATATCTTTGAGCGTCCTGTGGAAATTAATTCGCATACGATGCGTTGAATACAGATATTTGAAAGGAGTCCATTAATCTTGTTTGATGCATTATCTCCTGTGGCGATCATACTTTTTCTCCAAATTAGATGCTGATAATTTTCATCAGTCACCTGGTTGAATTACTTGTCGTAACTTAGCCCTACCAAAAATATGTTAATCTCTATGTTTGTTGAGTTCGAAACGAATGATTATCACCATGACCAGTTTCTTTGCAGAAATGGGTTCGACTACGTTACGCACGGATTTTTCTTTTGGTTAATACCCATTTACACTGTTGTTTTATTCCATACACTCTAAGTATAATTGCGTTTATTTTACTGCATAAAATTTTGTGGCAGGGAGCCTGATCCGTAAATTGGCTGAGCAACCTACTGTAATTTATCATGCTTTACCTGGTATCATATGAAATTTGGTTGCGACTTCCAATTCCTGTTAGCAAACCCCAGAATAACTAATTCTATCATATTTGCCGCCATTTTACTTTTACTGATCTTTGAAATGGAAGAAATATAATCGGTTTTGCATTTTGTGCTGATTCTTACCCTGGATTGTCAGCTATCAAGTGAGTCAAGGCAAAGTGCAACGACGAGGTATTCGCACCGGACAGATTGACCGTACAACTGGTGTATTCTTGTATGGCCGCGCAAGAATACCATGCTGTTCCTATGATTCGCTAGTCGACGATCTGCCACCCTTTTTTCGGTTGGGTATACCGAGGCACTGTAGTTTGGTGAATTCGTTGCTCAAGGATGTTTGCAGCTAATTAGAGAAAATCTGTGGCTAGTGCGATATCTGAAGCAAGTACTTTCTATGCGTCTCTGCCTTCTTGGGCATGCTGTGACTTATTAAACTTAAAGCCATTGTAAAATGCCGAGGGATGATTGTGGGACAGAGTCTATTCATATTTATGTGAAAACCTTTTGTTAACGTTTGTTAAGCTGTCAGTCCATATTAATAATAAGTAATCCTGTCCACTTCTTTAGCAAACAGTAATTGTAGACGAGATGGATTTCTAAACTTTTATTCGACGTTTATGGTGATACGAAATTTATCAACGGTAAAACAGTTATTCTAACTGTTCTTCTGTATGTAGCGGAATGTTTGGCTACTTTTAAAAGACACGAGGAACAGCTGAACTTGGCAAAAATGCTCATGTTTAGCTAGATCTGCGGTATTAGCAGAGTGTCACAAGAGGCACTCTGAAAATAGCAGCGATTGCAGAAAAGCTTATTAGTTCGGTCCTGAAACGAAGACTCATCGAGTATATTAGAAATGTAGCCCAAATACTGATACTACCAGAAAAAGGGACTGTTAAAGAAGAGGTAGCGCGATGTTGTCAAGAACGCGCATAAAACTGCGAGGAGTAACCGAAGATTTAACCAACGACAGAAAATTATGCTGGCAGTTGACTCGATTAGCTTATCCATGTTAAATGGAACACTCTTGGAAAAAGAAGGAGTTAGTTACTGTAACTCTACAGTAGTTTGATTCCGTTACGAAAGCCCAAACGTTGTATTAAAGTTTAAAAATCAATCACGCCTACAGTCATCTTTTTTTAAACTAGTGAACAATTTTCATCTCGTTGGCGCATATTGAAATATACTTCAAGCATATTAATGAGAAATGATCTTGAAATTCGCTTTTATCTTCTTTAGCTGGCCGTTTTTCAACATTCTTTTCATTTTTTCAGGATACAAGCGATATCCGAAATGATAGCCGATAGTTTGCTGATCATTTTCATTTCCATATGTACAGCATTTATTGGAGAAGGTATATCGGCTACGAGATGGATTTGTAAGGAAACATTCAAGCAGTGTTGTTTTAAGGGCTGACCTATTTGCTGGTTTACAAGAGTGATCGGTACAAACGTTTGAAAACTGAAATTGAGAAGCAGTCCAAAAGACGTAAGTAGCTCCACTGCTCTTTGTTTCCTTCTGTTGACTTGATACAAAGCGTAGTTTAGTCGAGAGGAAGAGAGACCAAGTCGGGGAGTTCGCGGAACGTGTTAATAAGCGGAAAATCGGTAATCGTAGTTTTGAACCTCATCTACGCAAAGTTTAATTTCTCATTTTGTTTACTCAAGAGAAGCAGGAGGAACGACTGAAAGGCACCAACCGCGATTTGTCCGTGTTTAAGATGAAAAGCATGTTTGCCATCGGCTTAGCTTTCACCGCATTGCTCAGCACATTCAATAGCATGTAAGTTACATGAATCATTTAAAAGTTTTCCGTAGGATGTTGGTGTGCGCTGTGGTTGGAGAATCGATGCCAGCCTGCCTTTCGGATTCTAAGAGAATCTGACGGTAAAGGGTACATCTAATTATATATGGGCTTATATATCCGATTATGTATAGGCTTCAGTGTGTAGACAGTGGGCATAAATTGGTTTCTGGCTGACTGTAGCTTACATTATCAAATTGCTAATTCGTCGATGTTTTTTATCGTCCAGGCTGTAGATTCGATCACCATTCTAGTGATAATAGCCATTTCTTCATTCGGCTCTAGACTACTAAGCAAAGTCGCTATCTGATGGCTCTCCGCAACATCAACCACTCATTGTGAATCATGTTAAGGAACTAGATCGGCGCCGCATACCGTATTAGAGGTCGTGCTAAGGTCTTCCTGAAAGACTGCAGAACCTTTGACTGTACTGAACCTGTCTGAACCGCCAGAGGAACGAATCAGTTTTGCGCACATTCTGAGCTATGCTTGCTGCGTATTTTGCTCCACTGCATGCCATCATTCACTATAACTTGGATGTGCTTGATTTTTGATTTCTTACAGAACACGTTGCTGTTCAAGATTGTTAGATTTTTAAAGCAGACTTGATGAAACGCCTTGTCCTCCTATTTAGATGGATTTGGCTTAAGTCTGGCTGTGTTGGCTCAGCTACAGAATTCTGGTTGTTATCGTTTAACTGTGTTATGTCTTCATAACTCTGGGCTGATGTGAGTGCAGATATTCCATCTGCCTATTTTATAAGAGATTTTACATCGCTCTACATCTAACCTGTTTCCTTGAACCACAAATCAAGTGAAAATGATTAATAAAACTTTTTTCAAAATTTTCACGTGATGCTTTATAGCCCTCTAACTGATACGACTTTTGCCGCGGAGTTGAAAAATTACGAGCTTAATTGAAAAACTGGATTGATTTCAATAAAATTTCTGGTTGTATTCAGACCCGTAGTCGTAGAGTTGAATGTCTGGAAGAGAAACTCCACACTTGTTTGCAGACGCAGACAACAGGCGGTAGGAAATACCTCTCGAAGCATATTTTCTAAAGTGTTTAATACATTGCAAATGACAGTACTTTATCGTTGTTTGATGACTCTTGGTCTTTTAAGTAACTCTGGTTTTTCTTCTATACGCTTTAAATCTTCATTCGTTTTGTGTTTCA